CGGACCGGGGGGGGAGGGGGAGGGGGGGAGGTGAGGACTGTGCACGCTGATGTTGGCTGTGGATTGATGGGTGGGCGTAGTGTGGGTCTGGGGCTGGGACATCAAACCAAACCAATGGAACAGAGAAACCACCAGATGCTGGTTGCGTCCAAACGACCGCAGTGTTAAGGGTTGCCGCGACGGCTACGAGTCGCTAACACTCGCGACCGGCTGAGCGAAGCAAAGCGGCTGACACCTTACTTCGCTATGAGCTCCGATGGCGTCGACACAGTCGGCTCCGATGGAGCGGGAACCCACACGCCCACCCGTTCTGATGACGATGCGCGACGACGAGGACGACGGGCGCCCACTGGGTGCCCAATTCTTACCTTGATCTCGTGTGTACGCGAGCAAGCGACGGGCACTCATGTACACGTGAGTCCCGTGCCAATTGGCACGATGTAGAGGCAAAGATGGTCAGCACAGTAAATACGAGGAGATCTCAAGCCGTCGAGCCAGCGAAGCGGTCACTCGGCCGGCGACCGACAGTGTTGAGAGTCCCGGTCGGTGATCCGGTGTATTGCTGTGACGGTTCGGCAGACTTGACTTGCTCCGACTTGCACTCATGCGGATCAACCTCACAGGTATGTTACAGGTTGCAGCATCCACGACAGCATGCAGAACCATATGTCTACCAGCTTATATAGTGGCGGCCGCGGTCAATTTGGTTGTCATGGGTGACTGGTGGGCCTGTGGCGGGCTGTGGACCTGTGTGACGACCTAAAGAAAGTGTCGGACCGCTTTTGCGGCGGGGCTCCAGCCTGCCTTGTCGGCATTGGGCAGGGCTCTACAACCAGACAACATCCCACACCAGGACACAACCACGCCGGCACACGTCGAGTTGAAAGCACATACTCCTGTCGTGGTCGTTCAAGACGACGCCGACGCAGCAAGTATACACTTCGGGTGAGGACACAGTGGCGAGGTGTTTTTTTCGCGGGGAGGGAACACAAAGCGCGGGTCGCACACGAACCGCACACATCATACTTACATGCATCGCTTCTTTTCGCAGTGTTTTCCTGCCTTGTTACCCTTGCGGCCGTGTGCTTGTGCTCAGGTGCTGCGGCCCGTGAGCTCCAGGCGCGCGGGTGGCGGCAGCGGTTCGATGCCGAGCAAGTGGTGAGTGCGGCGTCTGCGGGCGCTGAGTGCGTCATCCTTGCAGACATCGACGGCGACGGTGATCTTGACATGGTCGTTGCAGCGGCGGGCGACAACACGGTTGCCTGGTTTGCCAACACCGACGGCGGCGGGACGTACGGACCGGCGCAGATTGTGACCACCACGGCCAGTGGGGTGCAGATGGTTGTTGCCGAGGACATCGACGGTGACGGCGATCTTGATTTGGCGGTCGCTTCGAACGGCGACCACACTCTCGCGTGGTTCGCCAACACCAACGGCAGCGGCGACTTTGGCCCAGCGCAGATTGTGACGAGCACGGCTAGCGGTGCATCTGTGGTCGCTGCCGCTGACATGGACGGTGACGGCGATGTGGACCTCATCGTGGGTGCCCTCGACGAAGGCGCTGCATCATGGTTTCCCAACACCGACGGCGCGGGCACCTTTGGCTTGGGCAACGTCATTGCCACGTCTGTTAACCTCCCGCGCACGGTCACCCCAGTAGACATTGATGATGACGGCGACATCGACATTGTCATTGGCTCGGGCTCGACGTTTTCCGCCAAGGCGCTCTCCTGGTACTCCAACGATGGGACCGGGAGCTTCAGCTCGGCCAGGACAGTCCGGTCGGTATCGGCGACGCCGACGGCTGTCACAGCTGCCGACATCGACGGCGACGGCGACTGGGACCTTGCCGTCGGCCTTGTCGAGACCGGCGAAACGGTGTGGTACCGTAACCTTGACGGCGCCGGTGCCTTTGCCGCCGCTCGCACCATTTCCACCACTGCTAACTATGTCACCGACATTGTGGCGGTTGACATGGACGGTGACGGCGACCTTGACATTGCGACGGCGTCGAAGAACGACAACACGGTGGCGTGGCGCGAGAACACCGACGGTTTCGGTAGCTTTGGCCCGGAGATACTGGTGACGGCGAGCGCAAGCGGGGCGGCGTCAGTGGCGGCGGGAGACATCGATGGGAACGGTGCGATCGACTTTGCGGTCGCATCGGCGACGGCTAACACTGTTGGCTGGTTCCGGAACGCCATGTACTGGCACATGTATGCCCGCACCCCCGTTGTGGTGACATCGGCTGCGCCTGGCGCTGCATCGGTTGCTGCAGGAGACTTTAACGGTGACGGCGCCGTCGACCTCGCCTCGATCTCGTCCAACGACCGCAAGGTGGCGTGGTACGCTGGCGATGGCAGCGGCAGCTTCGGCGCTCAGACAGTGATCGACACCAACGGCGGCGGCGCAGAGCAGGTCATCGCCGTAGACGTCGATGGCGACGGCGACTCGGATGTGGTTGCCATCTCGACCGGCGGCGGGTACGCCCGGTGGTACGCCAACACCGACAGCGCTGGCACCTTTGGCCCGGCGCTGGACATTGCCACCACTGACGTGCCATACGGCGCGGCAGTCGCAGATCTGGACGGCGATGCTGATGTTGACCTCGCCATCGTCTTCCGTGGTCATCTGGCGTGGTTGGCAAACACCGACGGCGCCGGGAACTTTGGAACGGCGGTCACAATCTCGACTTTTCTGCTTAGCGGGAGCGCGGTCATCGCCGCCGACATCGACGGCGACGGCGACAGCGACCTTGTGACGACCTCGCAGCTCGACCGCAAGGTTGCGTGGTACGAGAACACCAACGGTGCTGGCGCCTTTGGTGTGCAGAACGTGATCACGTCTTCCGCCTACGGCGCGTGCTCGGTCGTGGCGGCAGACATCGACGGTGACGGTGATCTTGACCTGGCCTCGACCTCGCAGTTTGACGACAAGGTGGCGTGGTACGACAATACTGACGGCGCCGGAGCTTTCGGTCCGCTCACGCTCATCAGCTCCTTGGCCTCGGCGCCCGTCGCGGTCGTCGCCCTCGATGCCGACAGTGACGGTGACGTCGACCTCGCGGTCGTGTCGGCCATCGACAACTACGTCCGGCTCTTCCAGAACAACGGCGATGGCAGCTCGTTTGCCATCGTCCCCATCACCTCAGCAGCCAGCGAGCCAGAGGGCTTGGCGGCGGTCGACATCGACGCGGACGGCGACTCGGATCTGGTTGTCGCCAACTCGGGTGCCACCACCGTCACATACTTTGCCAACATCGGGCCGGCTCCGCCACCGTCGCCGCCGTCGCCACCAGCTGGGCCAGGAGGCAACGCGACAGCCAGCGCAGCCGGCACGGTGCGCGGCTCGTCATCGGCCAGCGATGACGACACGATGCTGATCATTGGGGCGTCGGCCGGGGCGGCAGTGGTTGCATGCTGTCTAGCCGCCGTGGTGGCGGTAGTTGTCGTCCGCCGGCGGCGCGGAGGCCAAAAGGCGGACGGTGGCGAGGTAGGGAGCGAACTCGGGCGCGGAGGAAGCGAGGTGGCGCTCAGCCAGATCTGACGAGGCCGAATAAGACAATTTTGGGTTCACTGCGTTGCTCCTCCCCCAGCCTCGGAACCACTGTTGCGCCTGTGGATGTCCATGAGGTTTGCGATGCCGCCGGCGGCGATGGCGTCCTCCATGAGCTTGCGCTTGGCATGCTGCTTGGCGAGCTTGGACTGGGTTCTGTCTGAGGCCATGAGGCGGTCGCGCCAGCGCGAGCGCGAGAGCGAGCACGGGCGGTCGCCGATGTACTTGCCGTTCATCTCTTTCCAAGCACGGGTAAAGTCGTTGGGATCGAGGAACGAGACAAAGCCGTAGACCTTGGGACGGGCGGACTTGCGGTCCTTAACGATGCGCGACATGGCAAAGGAGGGATACTTGGAGAAGGCCTTGACGAGGGCCTCGTTGGTGGTGTTGGGCGCGAGATCGCCCACAAACAGCCTGTAGTCGTTCTCTGGCCACTCCTGGAGCGTAGCGTCCTCCCAGGCCTTGCCCGCAGCGTACATGACCGGCCTAGCCCTCACGTTCTCTGCGGCCTTGCCCTCGAGCTTGCCCGCGGCGAGCATAGCGGCCATAGCAGCGGCGCGCTTCTCCTTGCGGTTCTTGAATACCACGCCTTTTGGCACCCATCGCTTCCACTCGGACTGAGGCGGCGGCGGCTTGGCCTCCACGGCCTCGGTCTCTTCCCACGTGTCGAACACGGCCAGCGCCGCGTCATCGTCATCGATGCTACCAGGCGTCACCGTCTCAGCCTTACTTCCGCCGAGCGGGCCCGATCCCTCGAGCGCCTTCTGTCGCTTCCGCCGTCCGTGCTCGTCGTCAATGGCCGCTTGCCTCTCGCTAACAGGCGCTGCGCCCGGTGGCAGCGGCGGGTGTGGCGGCCCAGTCGCTCTCCCGGGGGGAAGTGGCGGGTGTGGTGGGAGCGGCGGCGCGGCGCCCGGCGGCAGTGGCGGCTGTGGCGGCTGTGCAGGCCTCGGTCCGGGTGGGAGTGGCGGCGGTGTGGGTCCAGGTGGGAGCGGCGGGTCGCGCTTGCGCTTGGGCATGCGGTTAGGCTGTTGGGGGGAGGGGGGGGGGGGGAGGGAGGGAGGAGGAGTGTGGGCGACACGGACGCGAGCCGGACGGGGAGCGACCGGCTGCGGCTCCCGAAGATTGGACCATTATCTCATATGGGGCGGGGGGCTGTTTATCTACGACGGCGGGGCAGAGACTGAGCGACGGCCGAGGACGCGCTCGACGTTGGCGTAGTAGAGATCCTTGGCGGCGGTCCAGGTTGAGTGGAGCGGCGAGTCCGGGTTGCCGAGGGCGAGGAGGTAGGGCAGGAGGTCAGCGGCGTAGTGGGCCGAGGCCTCGCGCGGGAGCATGGCCGGAAGGTGGTCGATGGCGATGAGGTCAAGCGGAGCTGGCGGCTCGCGGAGGCGGAGCGTCGGCTCGAGGAACGAGGTCGAGGCATGGTAGATGGGCATGGGGTTGTCGGCCACGGTGTAGTCGCAGGAGATGTCGACAATGACGGAGGAGGCAACCGACGGGACCATGTCCTGAGTGATGAACGGCGGGATGGTGACGCCGACAGGGAGGTAAACAGCGTTGAGGAAGATGTCGCGAGTAAAGGCCTCGGGGAAGGGCCCGCCGGCCGCGGTCTCGGCGCTGTCCCAGCCGACAAGGTCGGGCTTGTCCTTGCCCATCATCTCGGCGAGCTCGTTAAAGAAGCGAGTGGCGCCCGTGCCGCAGCGGCCGTGAGCGCCGATGACGTGTGCCGACGGCATGTCGACGCCGGCCTTGGCGAGGAGGTCGACGAGGAACTCCTTGGCCTCGCTCTCTGAAGTGTATGGCTCGATGGTGCCGAGCGGCGCGTGCGGGTCGATCCGCTGCTGGGCGTAGACGTGGGTGGCGAGAACGGCAGCCGAGTATCCGGTCATGTGGCCAAAGGCAGCGATGCGGTCGGTGGTTCCGGGCGCGTGCAGGAACTCGAGGTCAAAGATGGAGCCGCCTCCGGCCTCGAACCTCTCGAGCAGCTCCTTGTCGCCGGTCTGGTTCTTGTACACGTGCGCAAACATGATGTGCTGGTGCTTGAGCGGGACGAGCGCCTCGCTCGCCGGCTCGGGCAGCTCCTTGAGCCCGAGGATGATGGTCTCCTTGGGCGCCTCGGGCCACGATCCGGCCGGCACAAGCTTGGCCCCTGCGGCGACGTACTCGTCATCAGCATGCGGCCTCGGGCACGGAGACGTACCCGGAACCGGCGAGAGGCTGGGCGGAGCTGTCGGTGTGCCGCGACGGGTGTGATGGCCGGCCGACTCGACCACAATGTCGTTTCCGGCAGCAATGAGCTCCTTGACCCCGGCGGGAGTCACAGGCGTCCGCGTCTCCTGTGGCTTGGTCTCTGCCCGCAGCCACATATGCAGGCTCCGTCCCAGCGCACTGAGACCATTCCGTCCTGCTGCACTCGCCACACGCACGCTACGCAGCATGACAAGGGCAATGGTTGGAGAGATGAGTGTGTACCGTGTCCAGAGCGTGCTGTCCAAACGCCGAGCAGCTGGCGATGTCGCGTCGTTGACCACAGCCGGGGAGGGGG